CTGGTGCAAGTCTCGTACGGCGTGTAATGTGTGACGCCAAATCTCGGCCAAAATATGCGGCATGGTGTGTTGCGCATCCTGTCTAAGCATATCCGTCTCTCTCAAGTTCTGAGGGCTAACTGCTTGCCTAGGCTTCCGTGAACTATATATTATTTCATCCACCCTCTCAGGCCTCAGAGACCGCCGACCGGTGTCTGTTGCTAAGGGCGTCACTCGGCATCATACTCATCACCCCATTCTGATGAACCAACAAGTATTCGACCTTGGTCGGAGACCGTAGTACCGTGCACCACATTATGATACCACAAAGTATCATGGCGCAGACATGAAGAGTGCATTTCATTTCTCTAGAGAATAGTATATCCTGCGCCCCGGAGTATTAACTAACACAAGCGCTCATTCGGACCGCCACCCCATTATCAGTATAATATGGCAAACTCTATCTCATGGAAATCACCCATCATCAAGCAACCATCCCACAGGCATCTCATCAATGGCAGATTCACGCCTTGTCTATACGCCCAAACTACCTAGGTAGTCCAAACACCTTCGTGTCCAGCGGTTAAACCATTCCGGCATCTCAGATTCTAGCGCCCGATAAACTTCCGAGCTGTCAAGTTAGTTCATCTGCCACACTCAAGAAGAAGAAAACCACACCCAAAACTGAAACTCAGACTTTTACGCCGCCCTGTCGCCGCCACAGCAGCCTCCTAACGCGAGCGTGGAAATCTGGACCCCCGTGACTGCTCAATAGTCCAGCCACGATCCCTCTCGAATGCTCAGCTGCCAATTATCAGCAGTGGGCAGTTGTCAAAATGCTCCCTCGGTAGAAAGAGTAAAATTAAAAAAGGACAAATGACAAGCAATGTATTGAAACTTGTTCTCCTTCCTTGTAATTTCCATCAAGACGTGGCTCTCTTGCGGCCGAATGCGCAATTCATCTGCTTATCTGCCTCCAAAGGACAATGACTGCCCGGCGAGGCGTGTTGACCGACATTCCCGACTTCAGCATCTTCAACGGCGCCGCAAAGTGCACAACGCACCACAGGCCCGGGATCAAGCGACTTGAGCTCGTGGGCGGGCTCAGGGTCTCGACGCTGAAGCTGAGCAAATCTGCACAGAAAGGATGTCCCTGGTGCGCTATATTCTGGGAGGCCTTCAAGCGCTCGGTTGGCACGAGTAAACCCGCCGACCAGGACTTTATATACTGGCGGCACGATGGCGAGAGCTTTTTCGAGCCGTGGTGCACCAGCGCCCAGTCTTCCCCCGGAAAGGGGGAATTCAAGATTCAGATATATACCGACGGTATGCTGACGCTCGCTTTTGCTTTGAATTCATTCCAATACCCCTTCTGTATTTTTAAAATAAGAAAGAAAAGCATTGTTGCTAATGAGTCCATCTAGATCTCGCCGGAGCGACCAGTGTCCACAGCCATTTCCCGTTCAAAAACTACCTCAACGGCCAGACAGACACGGAGCAGACAATGTCGCAAATAGACTACTGGCGACAGCAGTGCGCTGCAAACCACACGCAGTGCTCGCCGGTGGCATCGTGGGTGAACCTCCCCACCCGCCTCATCGACGTAAGCAGCCTCGCCGACATCAAACTGGTCGAAACGAGCGGCCGGCAAGGGCAGTACATGTGCCTCACTCACCGGTGGGGGGACCAACGAATGCCGATAAAGACGACGGCCAGCTCCTTGGACCAGCTGCGGCAGGGCATCCCGTTGGAGTCGTTGCCGCCGACGTTTCGAGACGCGGCCCTCGTCACCCGCCGCATGGGCAGCAAGTACCTGTGGATAGATTCGCTGTGCATCATCCAGGACGACAATGATGACTGGGAGCGGGAGTCTGCGCTAATGGCGTCCATCTACAAGAACGGGCTGTTGACGATAGCAGCGGCGTGGGCGTCAGGGCCGCGGGATGGCCTCTTCCAGACCGTCCCGTCGGTGGTGGTGGACAGCCGGAACCTCGAGCTGCCAAGGTACAATCTCCCGTTTCCCGTCATGGTCCGCCGCCAGCTGCGCTACAACGTCGGCCATTTGCGGCGGGACGAAGAGCACGGCATCCTCAACCGCCTGTGGGTTCTCCAGGAGCGCCTCCTGTCGCCGCGCGTCGTGTACTTTGGCTTCAACGAGGTGGCGTGGGAGTGCGTGGCCGGGTCGGCGTGTGAATGCGAGCCCATGCTGGCGAGCTACGCCGCCGCCGACTACTCTCCCCGTGAGCCTTTCGACCCCAAGGCGGCGTACATTCTGTCCACGTCGGCAGAGCACAGCGCCTCGATTATCGGCCAGTCCCCCGAGCTGTGGCACAGCATTGTGAATGCCTACACGGGCCTCGACTTCACGGCCCGCAGGGACAAGTTCCCTGCGCTGTCGGGGCTGGGGTCGGAGATTGCCAGGATGCGGCCTGGGGACGAGTACCTGGCTGGTCTGTGGCTCTCAACCTTCATGATGGACCTGCTATGGCGGAAGCGAAAAGGGGGCGACTGGCAGGCTACGGCGTTTGGGAAGCACTACGATCTGAACAATGTCTTCGGAGGCTCGGACGTGGGGCGGGCGGCTTTCAACAACAGGAATGCTCGACAGGAGATGAAGAGTCGGGAGATTCGGCAGCAGGATGCGGAAAAGTTGGCGCCCTCGTGGTCGTGGGCGTCCATCGACACGCAGGTCGACTATGAAAGGGAGCTGAATTCGGCCGACATGGGGCTTGTTGACGCCGAGGGCGCAGAGCTTCTTGACGCGAATTGCGCCCACAGCTATGGAATGGGCATGCTGCTGCATCCCGCAACGGCCTCTGTCACCATCAGGGGCAAGCTTGCAGCCGTTGAAGCAAGATTGGTCAAAGCTCTGTCTGGGGAGTTTATGCTCTACAGGGGCGGCCACGCGATGGCTTTCTCGGCAGCAGATAATTCTGCAGAAGTCGGCCTGGGAGGCAGGCTGTATTGTTTGTTAATAGCGGCGGGGCGTGTCAAAACAAGGCCGGTAATGGGACGAATATACGGACTCGTCTTGGCCGAAGCCGGTGATGGATTGGGAGGCAACGTTTTCCAGAGAGTGGGCATGTTTCAAGAAACATTTACCTATGGTAAAGAGTGGTGCGTGTTTGATGGCATTACGGGAACGGTGGATGTTGTGATTGTGTAGTCGTCATGTTTCATGATATTGATGGCATGGGTATCTAAAAAGCTTCCTACACATCTAATGAATTTGATACTACCCACATCCTAACCTTCGTCTAGATCTTCTTGTGGAACCAACATCCGTCGTCTACTCGGCACCGTCGATGCGGCGATGAGGGCCAAGGTGAAGAAGGTTGCTGCAAACAAAAACGGCATCCCCAACCAAAACCCACCCAGCTTCAACCCCCATCGGAAGGTCCCTGCTAGCACATGTTGGTCGATAAACAGACCACTCTGTGTCATGACTTCAATGACAGTGTACAGGACACCAAGATGGATTGAATCCACAAGGCCCGTTGCCAAACCCCCCACGGGAATGGCAAATACGTCTCCAACGGAAATTAGCACCAACCCTACCACCATCAATATCGTTGCTTGAAACACAACGAGACAGCCGAGCACGAGCAATAACCCGCTAGCTTAGGCGATGCACTTGTCTTTCTGCATCACGGACGGGTGATAGATGGTTAGGATCATGGCGGCACTGCCGAAACCAAAACGACGAGAGCGGACATATTGACGCCCGCGCGGACCAATATGAGGAATGACGCCCGACAAATTAGCGAAATTCTACATGATGATATTATGGAGTGAGGGCCGCATGGGTGTGCGTTTTAGCTTGCTCAATGTCCAGTCAAGGCGTTTCGCGGCGTACTGAAGCAGCAATGTAGGCCCAGCCTGCTCACCCAGCTGGAACACGAAAAATGACAAGACGAGTGGTACAAGTCGCGAGTTTGAAGCCGTCCAGTCTGCTAGATGCGGCGTGTTTGATCTTATGCCCGCGCAGCTGAACTGCTGCGCTTTGGAATGGACGCCAGCGCTTTCATCCTGGAGCAAACCCTGCCTTTCAATACTGTGAGCCGATGCGGACGGCCAGTTTCCAGAAACGAGAATAACAGCCGCAATGAACCCAGAAATCATGAAACCAGTGGAAACAAACATGGGAACCCAACGGTTCGTGGACATCAAGGCACCAACAATGGGGACGAAAATGAGCTGGGAGAAAAGTTTGACTGATCTGATTTGAGAGAAGGCGAATTTTCTACAACCTATAGTCAGAGACGAATTCGAAAAGGAGGAGGGTTACATGATTTCGAAAGCTTGCCTCTGTTCTTCTGGACACGCATCTGCCACCAAAGCATGTGTGATGGATGATAGTGTCGCGGCTCCGGAACCAATTGCTTGCCACAACCCGGCCATCCAAAACATGTGGGAACCAGTCTTAAACGCCTTGGTAAGTATCCCGTTGCCAATATCACAGTAGCTATAACTCACAACCGGCTGTCAGTAAGGACGACATAACATACGGCGATATTAGCGACATTCGACTCTCCGGTGGCCTTGTTTCTGCGGTCAAACGCCTTTCGTTTCTGCAGTGCTTCGCTTCCAAGTAATTCGGAACCACACGTAGCAACATGTCAGGCGCTTGAGGCTGGTTCGGTGGCGGAGCTGCACAGAGGCGGAAGGACAGTCCTAAGAATGCCATTGTCGGCTTACGAGAGCAGCTGGAACTGCTGCAGAAGCGCGAGAAGCATCTCCAACACCATGTGGACGAGCAGTATGAAATTGCGCGGAAGAACGTGAGCTCAAATAAAGCGGGCGAGTACAGAGTACTCTGTTCCGCAGTGTCATGTCGCGCACCTGTGTTGACTAAACACGGTGGCAGTGGCAAAAAAGGCCCTCGAACGTAAGAAGATGTACCAGGGCTACCGCGACCAAACCGACGGGCATATTTCTACCATCGAACAGCAAATGTATGCCATCGAATCTGCAAACATCAACCGAGAAACGCTGGGGCCATGGAGCGGGCAGCCGCTGCCATGAAGCAGATACACGGAAAGCTCACGCCGGAAAAAGTTGATGAGACAATGTGCGCGAAAAACATACATGTATTCCCTCCTTGTTTAATGCACTTTCTGACTGTCCTCTGTACAGGGATAACTTGCGCGAACAGAACGCCCTTGGTGAAGAGATTGTGGAGGCAATGAACAGTGTCAACAACAACCAGCTTGACGACGCAGACCTAGAAGCGGAGTTCGAAGAGTTACAGCAGGAACAGCTGGATGAGCAAATGCTCAAATTAAGCTCTGCATCCGTCCCGCATGCAATCCGGGATATGCCCGGAGCGGTCAAGAGAGAGCGTAAGTCGCAATCATTTTGCCCTGTTTGTCCGGTACTTGCCTGCTAACACCCTTATGTATCAGCTCCCAGCAAGGCCGCGGTAGAGGACGAGGAAGAAGATGATGGACCCAGACAACTGCAGGCCGAAATGGCTATGTGACGGCCGTTGAATTACCCAGAATTTGCAGTGGCATTTGAGGCGGCAGGTTAAACCCGGCGATTCCGAGGTTTCTTGCCTCCGAATAATTCTTGCCCTCGGCTTGCCGTTGTCGGTGAAGGAAAATCCCTCCAAGACACAAATACAAGAGTCGGATTTTTTTGTCCTTGGTCAACTTGGGTACGATCCAAAGAGAGCTCTTATTAGGCGTGTTTGGTAAAGGAAGTTATGCAAAAGATATCATCTTCACACACAGTTTTGCTTTTCCTTAAAGATATGTCGCTACTTAGGCTCAGTCAAAGCAGGCCAGACATTGGAATTTCTATATGTGATATTGTTCACTGAATTTGACTGCAAATGTTATTGCATGCCCAAGTATAGATAAAGCACATAACATAAAATATGTCTTCACAAATGCGGGAGAGAAGCGCCGAAGTCAGAGTGCTGGGCGTTGGAAAGTGGCATCCCTGCCATACGCTTGCTTTAGAATTGTGCCTAGCCTAGTTAAAATATTGGCCAGAACTGTTGGCCAGCGTTCCATCGATCACATCACTGCTGTTTTCCACTTACCCGCGGACTTGATAGCCAACGGTCGGCTGGATGCGAGGACCAACACGGCGCTTCGGTGTTGGGCCTAATATTGCGTTCTGAGTCCGCCTCCAAATAAAAGTCTTCAAATATTCCAATCAAGAAGTTTGATGCTAGGCGCTGAAGATCCATGTCCAGCTTCTTGCCTGATGAATTCTGATGGTTGGTCATCAGCTCCAGTCCTCTTTTGTCCAAGAGGGGCTAGCTCTACACTGAGCCAGCTGAATCACAGAATACGTTCGCGTACGGAGTACCAGGCACTTCTTATAAGCATGAACGCAGGCGTAACGCTTCATAAACAGCCAGTTCTCGTGTTAGTCTTGTGCAACCAGAAAGATGTATGGTTGGTTTGGCGGTAGTACAACTTACACCCCCTCAGTCATGCCGAGAAATAAGGCGTGAGCGCGATATCTGTGGCAATATTGAGAAGAAGATGTATTGTAGAGTTCACCGGCTGCGTTGCAGGCCACAAGAGACGTCCCAGAGAGCAACATGCCCCTTTGCGTCATTGCACGAGGCAGCACTTGATCATCTCTGGTGGCTCGATCAAGCGCTCTTGACAGCGCCGTGTTGTGGACCCTGCAACCACCGCATTATCCATCGATGTCATGATAACAAGGCAGGTCGCTGTGTTTTGCCTTGGAATGGACTCTTGGCTGTCAGCCACCCCGCAACCTCCAAGATTTGCAGCAAGGACGACCCGTCGCCGCCGTCGTTGCCGTCAGAAGACTGCTGGGCAGCGGCAGCGCCTTCCCTAGCCTATGGCAACCCCGCCATTAGTCACCTGCGCCGGCCAGTCGCAGCCAGTCGCAGCCAGTCATAGTGCCTGCATTTCCTTTTGTCCACGCCGCCGCAAGAATCCACCCCGGCTTTTGCCGAGGGCCACAACTCTCGAGTCTTTGCACTGCAATCATCCACCACCCCAGTTGCCCAGTTGAGCCGCCGACCACTCTTCCACCTCCTCGACGTCAATCCCTGTATGCCGTTGTTCCGTGCCTCCCTCGCCCATCTTTTCCCCTCAACAACGCCGACCGATTGCATTTTCTTGCCATCCAGCGCAGCGCTTTGTACGGAGTCCTCGCGCGCGACGGTATTTGCTCAGCACCCCTGTAACGCAGTGCGATATAGCCGACTTGCAGTGTGACGTCTTCCCCAACTGAGCCGCCGGCCGACCTACCTTGAGGGACTCGGTTGATATTGCTGCGGGAGGACGACCTCCACCCAGGAAAGACACTCCTCGGATAGACCGGTCAAAGTCGCGTGCGACATTATCCATCAACGCACGACCGACCGACTACTCCTGTCAACGTGGGAAATTGACAGTCGAGCGCCTCCTCAATCCTGCATCGACGACTACCCCTTCACCATCGACCAAAACACACTAAGCAAACATCGCTTCCTCACAAACCATGCCCTCCCAACGCCCCTACTTCCTGTCCTCCTTCATCGCTGCCTTCCGCCAACAGGGCCCGACGCTCCAGGCCAATCAACAGCCCAACAAACACAATAACCAAACCGCCGCCGTCAGCTCCTCCACCTCGTCATCATCATACCCCCAAACAAGTACCGCACCGCGGACCATCGCCACCAGCGCCGCCGCAGCAGCGGCAGCATCGTCCGCCCAAGCAAACAGTCGCTCCCCACCCCCTGGCGTATCTATCCACTCTCCCCGCGGTAACAGCGCCTCCTCTATCCCTATTCCAAATCCATCTGCGTCCGGGCGGCGACGTGGCAGCGATAGTAGTAGCGAGGGCTTCAGAGATGCAATAGGCTCAGACAAGTGGTATATCGGCGGCAGGACGGCAGGCGGTGAAGAGAAATTCTTCAAGCTGGGCGTAGTGAGGAGGGTGAGAAGTAATGATGGTTTGAGTCTGGATCGATTGAGTTTATAAGACCCGGGACTGAAGAATCAAGGCCCCCCAAAAAATTTCATGGCTCCGTTTATGCAAGACGGATGCCACTTTATGAGATGGGAATGTTTACCGATGGCTTGAAACGCGAACATGAATGAGACTCACGGGATGATGGAATGGGAATCATTGGTGGCGTTTACAGGGCTGCTTTGCTATTAAAAAATGTCGTGGCGGGAAAACGCTTCACTCCACCATATGGTTGGTGTCTGCATCTTTCTTTTTTTTTTTTTTTTTTTTTTTCTTTAGG